TTTCAGAAAGTAGACTTCACACCAAGGAAACATTACATAGTGATAAAGGGGTTAATTCCCCCCAAAGATATAATCTTTAACGTGTATGTGCCTGACAACAGAGCATCAAACTACATGAGACAAAAACTGATAGAACTGCAAGGAGAAGTAGATGACCACTATTATTTTTGGAGACTTAGACATCTATTAGAAATGGATAGATCCAAAGGGCTGGCCGAGTGGCTCAGTTGGTTAAGAGCCGCTCAGGAGTTTGAGCTCTGAGCAACAGCGGTTCGATTCCTGGCCTGAGCTGAGCTGCCAATAGGTGGCAGGATGGCTCAGCTAAAAAAAAGAAAAGAAAAGAAAAGAAAAGAAATGGATAGATCCAGCAGGCAGAAAACAAGTGACATACGAGTAGTTGAACTTAACACCATCTATAGACTACATCCAACAATAGCTTTAGAGAGCAACTCAATGTGCTTAGAAACAACAGACAACACTTTAGAAATCACCAACAAAAAGCACAAAAAAGGAAAAAGCGTGGTATTAAATAAACTGTGAAGAGGACACTTGTTTTCAGTATGAGCTGAAACAAGGCAGAGAATCACCTTGTTCAACTTCAGCTAGAACGTGTGTTGGGACATTCAATTTTTTTGCCACTTTACACTTGTCCACTACTATGCTCTGAATTGTGTCCCCACAAAATTCATATGTTGAAGCCCTAATCCCTGATATAACTGTATTTGGAGATGGGGATTCTTTTCTTTAAATTTTTATTTAAGCTAAGCCATCCTGCCACCTGTTGGCAGCTAGAGATGGGGATTCTAAGGAAGTTGGGTGCCCTGGGCATTTGGGGCTCCCTGCAGATAACCTGGGGTCATGACCTGTATTTATATGGAGATTTCCTATGGAATATTTTTCTGTTGATTAGAGTTAATGATCATACCTAGTGATTAGATTAGTTTTCTAATAGTAGAAGAATATTTCCTCAATTTTTGTGTAGTTCACAATGTAATGGGTATAGACACAATACATTTTTAAGGTCAATCTGATTGTGACATTTCCCTGTCACTTTATTAAAAAGTTTAGACAACAAAACAAATCAAGCCCTGAAAGTAGCTGATTTGTTTGCCGATTTCCATGTAGAAAATCCTACTATAGCTGATTTCAAGTTACCAATGTGATGTCATCAAACATGCATTAGAGAACAATGTACAGTAGCACATCATTATGTGTCCTTTCTACTATAAACATAAAATGTGAATAATCTGGAGTGTAGATAATACTATAATGTAAAATAGGAAGGAATCACTTTCAGTCTTTATTCATATTTTAATCTATATTTTAATATATTTACTCATAAATTTATATAGTTTAATATTTAATGGCTGTAGTTAATGACTAATTTGCAGGATTTCTGAAAACTTAGCATTTGGCTCAGCAGCCAGTAGGATTTGGCTCCAGCTTGCTACTTTACCTTTCTGATACAATCTCCTACCATTCCCCTCACTACTATTTTCCTGACCCTTAAACGTGTGTCTTAGGGCCTTTGCCCTTCCTATTCCCTCTGTGTGGGTTGTCTTTCCCTCTAAGTTCTTATCCAGGACTCTGTTCTCATTGATGCCTTCCCTCTTATCTACTCTCAGTTAGTCTCCCTCTACCCCAACACCTACTTAACGTGTCATTTCACTCAGTTTTGGTGTCTTCCTAGCTCCTGTCAGTATCAGAAATTATTTATGTATTTGTTTGCATGTTAGTTGTCCGTTACTCCACTAGAACATAACCTCCAAGAGAGCAGCGACCTTGTCTCTTATTCCCCAGTGCCTGTAACTGACTAGCATATAGTAGGTGTCAATAAATATTTGCTGAATGAGGGAATGAATACTTCAAATAAAAGGTATAAACATGACTTACATATTGTTTCACAAAAGCCTCTTCTTTAGCCTACTCCTTATTAGATACAGAAAAATATGATCTTGTAGTTTTTTGTTTGCTTGCATTTGGATTAGTTTCCAGATTCTGTTTGTTCTTGGATCTAAGGTTTATATATTACTTTAACTTCTCTGTAGAAGCATTGTTTGGATTATATTTGAAATGAAACTGTCATGAAAGTATTTATCATCTATAAGTAAACTTTTATTGTAATTCGAGACTAACCTGCCTGATGCTGAAGTCTGTATTATAACAGATTCTGTAATGGTTAGTTGCCCTATAGTATATTTAAAATTGAGGGGGAAAAGTATACTATTAATTTTTTGAAGAATATTATAATGTAATATTTGAAGAGTATTTTTTTTAACATCAAAAGAATCCTGAAGGTAAAATTGATGTATTTAATTGAGAAACTTGTTTTTAATTAAGACTTCAAAAGTGCTTTTTTATCAGCGTAAAATACCCTATAAAGCTCTGTAAGTGGCAAACGGTAAGAAAATTTTAATTGCTCCCTTTTCTTTTTAAGTTGATAAATTATCAAACCAGAGTTATTTTAACTTTTGGAGATTAGTGCAGAAAGCATTGGATGAACAGATATATAATTACCCAAAAAAAGCCTTTGTACAGTTGGATATAGAATCCTGGATTTTAAGGGTCTTTTAATGTGATATGGACTATGCCTTTTTGATGTCATTTAAATTTTATTTTTAATACCAAACCTAGTATCATTATCTCTTCTGTACTTAGGTTCGATTAGTGATAGTGGATGGTATTGCTTTTCCTTTTCGTCATGACCTAGATGACCTACCCCTTCGTACTCGATTACTAAATGGCCTAGCCCAGCAAATGATCAGCCTTGCAAATAATCACAGATTAGCTGTAAGTATTATTACTCAAGAGAATTTTATAATAAAGCTAACATTGTATAAAAGATTACTGTCTGGAAATAGCAGAATAGAATTTGCCTGATTAAAAGCAAATAATATAGACACAGCTTTGAATGTAGTTTGTTTTGGCTTCATTTTTATAAAAAAATAATTCCAGTCATAAGCGTTGTGTATCAGTTTTTCTGGAAAATAATAAGCATAATCAAGATGCCATATTTTAAAATTGGACTTTGATGAAGAAATACCACCTTTGATAATTGCAGTGTTTTCTTTGTCTGAATATACTTGATGGTTTTTAGGTAGCATTCTCATTTTTCTTTTAACTGAGTCTTTGATTATTACATAGTGTATAATCACAGAGTCAGACAAATAGGAAAATTACATAGTGTAAACAACCACAATGTCTGGAAGTGGAGCTACCTCTTCTAGATTTGAAATGTGAAGAGAGAGTTGTAAAGATAAGTTCAGAAGTGAAGAGATAAAAAGGAGGGACATAAAAATTGGTTTTATACTGTCTTTTTGCCATTACTTCCCAGTCTGCAGCCCCATGCCACCACTAACACAAATATACACACTTGTCAGGGAGGGAATGGGAGAAGATCAAACTGCTTAACTTGATTTTCTTGTCATTATCCTGATTTTAAGAGTCCTTAGCACATACCTGTAATATATCATAAGTAAATAAAGAGCTCTTCGATAAAAATCATTTCAAAAAATACATATTTTCTTTTGAGCTTTTAGATTTTTTTTTTAAGGGCACCAGGACCAATGATCACCAGCTGCCCAAATGCCAAAAAATTACGCTTCCGAAATCTCTTTTTTTTTTTTTTNAGCTGAGCCATCCTGCTACCTGTTGGCAGCTCAGCGGCTGCTCAGCTCGGGCTGGACTCGAACCGCTGTTGCTCAGAGCTCAAACTCCTGAGCGAACTCTCAACCAACTGAGCCACTCGGCCGGCCCCCCATGCTTCCGAAATCTCTTGATGTCGATTCTGCATGCAGAGCAATCAAGCTGCTCTGCGTGTGCCACTCACAGCAGAAGCCCTTTTTTAAAATTTTTTTTAAGATTTTTTTTTGTTTAACAGTTGGTCTCTTTTGAATTTTTTTTAGTTCTTTTTTTTATTAGTTTCAGATGTTAGATTTTTTTGCCATATGCGGAAAAGCATAGTGTCCCATCTTTGAATTATTTCTTGCCATTAATTTAATTTAAGCATTCTGTTAATATCAATGAAGATCCCCCAATAGGGGGCACTCAAGACTAATAGTTGCATAGTTCCTTAGGATTTTGTTTGTCTTGAACAGAAATAGCTTTATTTTTCTGATTAAAAAGAGTAATGCAAACACTAACATGGAATACTATGCAGTGTTTAAGAAGAATAATGTAAATGTACATGTACTAAAATGGAACAAGATATATCCAGATATGAGTAAGTGAAAAATTCAGGTTGCATATTTAGTGTGATCCCTTTTGAGAAAAATTAAATTCATGTATGTGTATTTATATTTATATATATGAAGAAAAATATCTGAAAGAACCAAAATATTCACAGTGGCTACTTACAGAGATAGGATTTTGTGGGGTTGAGGGCATACTTTTCCCTCTTACTTTATAAATTCTTCTTTGCTTAATTTTTAATTTCCCAGTTAGCATGTACAGAAGCATGTATGACCTTTGATAATAAATACATTTTACAATTTTAAGTTATAGGTGCTTGCTCTAAAAAAATTCTAAACAATCAAAAATGTAGAAAGTAAGCAATTATATTATCTATTACCCAGAGATTATTGTTGAGTTTGGTGTACATATTTTTTCAAACTTATTCTGTGTATACATAAACATGTTTTTCAAGTGAGATATCATGCATGCTATTGTGCAAAGCAATATTTTGTTGTTCACTTAAAATATTGTGAACATCTTTCTGTCTACACTGCTTGTCACCTTAACAGCTACCTATTGTAGTGTTCCATTGTAGCATATGGTTGTAGCATAGTTTTTTAACTGCCTCCTTATGGTCTTTAAAGTTGGATCCAGTTTTTCACCATTTAAAACACTGCAGTCAACAACTTTATATATGCTTCTTTGTCCATTTGTCCATTTATTTCTGAAAGTGTTAAGCCAAACAGGTATCTCTATTTTTAAACATTTTGTGAAATGTTATCAAATTACCCTCAGAATGTTTGTTCCGAAGTACGTTCTCTGCAGCAATGATTGGGAATTCTTGTTTTCCCACATCTTTACCACCTTTGAGTCTTTTAAATCTTTGTTAAGCTGATGTGGAGAGACTCATTTTAGAGATACATTTATTTGACTATTAGTGGAAATGCTTTTTAGAAAAATTTTATTGAAATATAATTAACATACCATAAAATTCACCTTTTTAAAGTACAATTCAGGTTTTTTTTGGTGTATTCAGAGTTTTGGAAGCATCTCTATTATCTAACTTCAGAACATTTCCATCACCCCCAAAAGAAATCCCTTACCCATGAGCCATCATTCCCCATTGCACCCTTCTTTCAGCCTGTAACAACCTACTACTAGTCTGCTTTTTGTCTCTATGGATTTGTTTCTTCTGGATATTTTATATAAATAGAATTGTACAATATGTGGTCTTTTATGTCTGGCTTCTTTCACTTAGTACAATGTTTTCAAGATTCATCCATGTTGTAGCATGTATTAGCACCCTTTTTATGACTAATTTTGCATTTTCTTGATATACTGCATTTTGTTTGTTCATCAGTGAAAGACATTTGGGTAGCAGAAGCACTTTTAAAGCAACGAAGTTAATAACTTCAAACTGATTGATACTTCACAATTTTAAAGACTCATTCTTTATTTAGGAGCTTGGAGTAATCACACAATTTTAATTTGTATCCTGGTAAACCCAACATTTTTGCAGAAGTAGTGTAATTATTTTATAAGTATTTGCTAACAATGCAAATTCTAATTTTGGATGTTGAACAGCTGGTAAGCAGTATGTTTATTTATATTTTCCTCAAGATACTGAAGATACTCCGTAAACCAGTGCTATTGGATAGAACTTTCTGCAAAGATGAAAACGTGCAGTTTAATACAGTAGTTGAATGGCTTTTGAGCACTTGAAAAAAGGCTAGTTTTCCTGAGGGACTGAATTTCTAGTTTCATAATTTAATTTTAAAAAGCTGTATGTGGCTAATGACTGCAGAATTGGATAGCATACCTCTAACCAAAAAATGTTGATATAAGTAAATATCTCAGTTGTTAGAGCTTAAACACTTGGTGATATGTACAGTAAAAGGTATTATTCAGCATGTTGGGGATGCCATTTAGTCATATATTTCATTTAATTACCAATTTAAATTTCTGCTTAGCTTGTTTAAAAGTCCTGACATGAGGCAACAATGGGGAAACCACTATGGCACTTAAGGGGAGGGGAACTAGAAGAAAGTGATGTCATCCAGTTGGTGCCTAATTGAAATCTAGATGGATTACAGGTTTCTCCTTTGTAGATAAACAAAAATTTTAGAGTGTTACCACAGCAGTAGAAGTAGCCAAACAGCCTTTTCTTTCTCAGTTTTCTTATGGAACTATTGACTTTTTCAGAGTATGTACCTTTTCTCATTGCTTTTCATAGAAGTACTTAATCAGTTTTGGCTTGCAGTAGTATCTGTCTTATTTCTGGAGGGAAGATCTGTATTGAAAGAATATTTAAAATAACTGTTTCTGAAGAATTTTGAATTAAGAAGGAGCCAGATAATCTGACTGTAGTAAGTCAGTCTTAAACACTCTTGTTTTCTCTATGTTAAAATTACTGCTTTCAAAACATGAAATCTTTGCAATAGACCAAAAGAATTAGCAATATTTTTGGATTTGAGGACCATCTGTGAATACGGCAACACCTATATCTATTACTAGCAGACTAGCGTCGTCATAATTTGGGGTCATTTGACCTGATTACTGGGTTTTATTTTTTCTCAGTTCTATTTAATCTATACTGTACATTCTTTTTTTTTTTTTTTTAAGATTTTATTGAGGAATCGGGGGACGGGAACAGTGCTGGGGAATTGGGGAAGGGGAACAGACAAGTTGCTGTCCTTTTGTTCTTTAGTCTAGTTGTGGAGGACTTCACTGGCCCATGTTGGTATTGTGATCATTGCACTCTTCCCGCGTTAAGCAATTCCTCACTGGCCATTGGACGGTCACTCACGGCAGTGGCTCACGGCAGCTCATGAAAGCGCATGCCAGCTGCCGGCCAGCCCCACTGCAGCCTACACCGTCACCTGCGACTCATGGCAGCTCAGCTCCAGGTCGAGCTGTTATTCACCATCTTAGCTGTAGAGGGCGCAGCGTCACTGGCTCTCACTGTGGGAATCAAACCTGGGCCCTGCTGCTTAGAGCTGGCGTCCCAAGCCAACTCTTAACCAACGTGCCACTCGGCCGGCCCTCTTCTTTTTTTTGTACATTCTTCATGGTTTTAGGTCTTTTTTTTTTTTTTTGCCTCAGTTTCTTTTTCATTTTTGTAAAATCATAAATCATAGTACTGTATTTGTTTCTTCCCTAAAAACATAGGCATTGAGTTATTTTTGAAGAATCTGATATTCCTTTGAATAAATATATTCTAGAGAGGCCACAATGGTAAAGAACGCAGACCCAGTCTTTCGAATCCTGATTTCTCATATGTTAAACTGGAATAATAATACCTCATTCATAGAGTAGTTGTGGAGATTAGGTAAGATAATAAAGGTAAAGCAATTAGCATAATTTCTGGCACGTATTAAGTACTCAAAAAATGCTTATTACGACTACTCATGTTGCTGCTATTGATCTGGTTGTTTCTATTGGCTTATACAAAACTTGAATTTTAAAAGCGAGGTTTTTTTCCCAGTGCTCCCAGTTATGAAGTTTTTACACATGGCCTCTTTAGGCCTTTATGTTTTATCTATTTTTCATTTTCCATTTTTATAATAAGAACTTCTTTGTTCTTGTCTGTTAAAAAATATTTTATGTTCAATAGAATCATGTTTTCAGTTAACTACTCAGTTTTATGAGTAAATTTTTAAAAAATTATCAGAAAACTTTTCATTACCTAAATATGTCTTTCTTTAAATTAGATTATATTCAGAATACTAAAATCACAGGACTATTTACTTGGTCATTTTTGGAGGAGACTCACCTAATTTTCTCACATTTTGTTTTTGTAGGTAATTTTAACCAATCAGATGACAACAAAGATTGATAGAAATCAGGCCTCGCTGGTACCAGCATTGGGTGGGTAGTTAATGAGATCAACATTTTTGGTTAAACACATTTTTCCTACCTGTTTGATGTGATACTTATTGAGTACTATAAGCTTCATGAAAGCAGAAACTTTATCTGTCTTATTCACTGATAAATCTTAGCACAGAACACTGTGCCTTTAGGTACTGACTTATTCTTTCAGTTATTTAACAAACATTTATTCAGCATCCACTATATGGCAACTGTTGAGTTTGGTGCTGATCATATAAATACCGGGGGTGCCAAAAAAATGTATACAAGTGGACACTTTGGTCAGTGGTGCTCAAGCAGTAGTTCACCTTAATCAGAAGTGTCTGGATGCTGATGGTAAACACTTTGAGCACCTCTTGTAATTGCAGAAGTCAAATGTGACTTGTATTCATCTTCTGTTATCACTGTATATCGAGTATTACAATTTTAATTGTTTTTTCCTTCCTTAAAATGTGTATATATTTTTTTGGCCCCTTTTGTGTTTATGAGATTACTCTTGCCCCTCAGAAGGCTCACAGTCTTAGGCAGGAGGAAGGGTGAATCCATTTAAGTACAAATTACACACAGTGAATAAACTTGTGACTTTGTTCCTAACCTCAGTCATGGTTTTTTAGAACACAGTGCTTCAAGATTTATTTCTACTAAAATCTTTAGGAATATTTTGTGAGAGTTTTTGTTTTTTTCTGGTGGTCAGAAATAAGTAGTCCTAATGATATGGAAGATTGACAAATATGTTAACTCAAACTATAAAGTTTTCTAAAAGCAAATAGAAGATTATGATGATCCCCCATTATTTCCATAGATATGTAAAAATCTATTAATCTTAGGATGTTATCCATGTACTAGATTTTTTGAAGCCAAGTATACTCTTGTGTTAAATTAAGTAAAACTGTATTTGGTCAGAGGTATTCTGAGAGATTTATAATTTAGTCAGTAAGGCAATAATATACAATTATTCTACTCTTTTTTCCTCAGGGGAAAGTTGGGGACATGCTGCTACAATACGACTAATCTTTCATTGGAACCAAAAGCAAAGGTCAGTATAGAAGCGAATTAATAATTCCGGATATTGGGTTAATTACATTGAATACTTAACAGTTTCGTAGAGCTAGTCCAGTGGATGACATCTACAGTGCCCTATGAACCAAAGCTTTTGTTACCTTGTCCTTAATCACCTAGAGCAAACATAGAAACATGTTTTTATCTGCACATTTAGCTACCTGGGAAATTCTTTGGAATATTTAAATGATGGGGTGCACTTGAAATGAGTAGGTGGCCAAGAAATGCTACCTTCTAAAGTTCTTTGAAATCAAGTACCATTTATTAGCTATGCAGAAGGAGGTGGGTACTCTGTGTTCATGGAAGGGATTGAAAGAATAAAATCGGGACAAAAGGAAATCTGTAGAGGTTAGCTTTAGGACTAATTTATGTGGAAAATACGATGGTTTTTCTTAGTTGCTTAATACATTTCTTATATGAAATTGTGTCTGCTTTTGTTTTCTTTTGTATTTTCCTGTCTTGCTTTTGTTATTCAGTTACTTACCTGACTTTCACTGGTATTGTTCTTTAAAATAAAACTCTGACAGCATGAAACCTTTGTATTTGTTTTTAAAGCTGCTGAGCAAGTGAACACACCAGCTTTTATTTTCTTTAAAATAGGCAATTGAAGGCTGCAGAATCTTTTATTCTTCACTTCTAGAAATGTCAGATTTATGCCAGCCTCTCTGCTTTGAGATTAATTGGTATAATCTAGAGAACTTGGTTTGGAAATGCTCTAATGGGGGAAATTGAGATAGCATGTGGGCAAAGATGGAAAAAGGGGTTGCTTAAATCCTATCAGGTCTGGTCAGTGATATTGTCTATTTCTTTATCTGTATTTCTTTGTTCTTCTACAAAATGAAAAAAATCATGCTTCCCCAAGTTAGGTTTTACTAACTCTTAGCTCATAGCAGAATTGATCACACTTACATACATCTTTTTCAACTAATTCATGGAGTTTGTGTCTCTTTTAAAGATGGCATTTCCAGGACTCAGGTAACTTTTAAAAAATTTTTATTTATAATAGTGCTTTACAACTGACTCCCATCCCCCCAATTCTGTAAACAAGTCATTGTACACCGGATTCACAAAAGGAGTTCTTTCCTCAGCAACAAACCCTATTGTAAAGATTTGGCAACAGTTCTCCAAATGAGTCTTTTGAACATACTGCTTATACTTTCCCACATTTAGGTTTTCTGCAAAGTGCATACTACTAATGTTCTTAGAAATTCCCCTTGAGCTAGTATACAATAGTAGTCTTCCACTATTCTATTAAATACTCACTGGTAGAATACATCTAAGAAATGAGAAAATAATAGGAGCAGAACAAGATGTTTTATTTTTTTTATGCACTCATCAGAAGGAGAAGCTTGCCTTTTTTATCTAATTGTCTAAGTTAGCATTGGTTAGGCACCCATGAGATCAGAAAAATCATGCTTACTTTTTAAGAGTTAACCATTTTAGGACTTCAGCTTCTTTCTAGTCCTTTCCAAGAAATTAGAGAATGGTGTAGACATTGAATAATAGATTTAGGGGAAATCTGTTCCATAAAAATTTTCCTATATCCCATACTATCATTTTAGTGAGTGCTTGTTTGCGGTACATATTTAACTGGGCACTTTGTAAATAACATTTTATATAATCCCTTCAGTAACTCTTTGAAGAATCTATACATATTGTCACTAACAGTGAGAAGACCAAGGCCCAGAAAATTAAGTAGTAAATAATAGCTAACATTTATTGAATATTAATTGTCCTATATTATGCTAAGCACTGTGTGTGTGTATATGTATAAAATTTCATTTTCCAAATACGTCTATGAAATGTAATTGGTAGTAGTACCCATATTTTACAGCTGACTATAATAGAGTCCATTTCTTTCTCCTATAATTGCTATTTCTAGAATATAGTTATAACTATAGTTATAGTATTATGTTGATTTCCAGCAAATCTGAAGGTGTAGCTCTTACCCTCCTTTTTCAGTAAAATCCTTTTTCGTCAAACTTTTTTTTCAGGCTGTAGATATATGATAAGTAATGTGTACACTTTATTATAATCAGAATAAGTTGACCTCATTTAATAGAATTAAAATAGTTTTGTTCATTGTTTGAAACCAGCTATCTTTAAATCGTTAAAGTTGCATGCAATCTTGTATGTGTTTTAAAACTCCGTTTCTCTTGAAAGGAAGGAAATAGAAATTCCCACTGGGGGAAATAGTTATGAAAATGAACACTTCCCATTTGAGCAGAAAACTAAAAACCTTGATTAGATAAATTTATATTGAGAATTGAACTTCAGTATCCCACCTCCCCATCCTTCACCAGAAACACCTGATTGTTACCTTTTGACTAATAATGGAATAACATTCCAACAGTTATTAAAAGAAATAGTTTTGGGCCAACCGAGTGGCTCAGTTGGTTAAGAGCTTGCTCAAGAGTTTGAGCTCTGAGCAACAGCGGTTCGATGCTCGGCCCGAGCTGAGCTGCCGCTGAGCTGCCAAAAGGTGACAGGAGGCTCAGCTTAAAAAAAAAAAAAAAAAAGGGAAAGAAATCGTTTTGTCTCTGTCCTGTATATTGTGTGGGTTTTTCTTCAATTTGCATATTCATGATAATATGAGACTGAGATTGTTCAGAATTATTCCACTCTTTGCCAAGAAGATCTGGTGGTAGAGTGGAGTAATATATCAACACCCCCACACAGCGTTTCATATGTGTACTCAGCTTTAGAGCACAAACTGTGCTTCTGTCTTGTTTCTTCCTGACCCAAACTATGTAGTTCAACCATATGTTAAGCTTCATTTCATCTGGGGCCATGAACCAAGTGATTATTTGGTTTAATTTCTTGTTTAAAAAGATCTCATGGAATGCAGACATGAAATATAAAATTTTATTTTTACATAGAAATTTTAGGAAGATTTTCAACCTGAATACTTAATGCCCATTTGACTTTAGGATTCTTAATACACATGTAAATACTTCTTAAAAGCTTATTTACTTTTTAATAAGTTTCTCAGAAAAGTCAGATGAACTGGGTACCTTTTTGGACATGGTAGTATGAGGTGATTTAGATACTAATTTTCCATAAGGTTAGCTGTTATTTGTTTTATTGAATCAAAAACTGATTTTTTAATAAGGTGGGTTAAAATATACCATGCCTCTATTTTTCTGTTACATTTTGCATTCAAGATGGAATATCAACCCTAAAAGCATTGTAAAAATTTATAATCTCACTCCCTAACACAACTATTCTTATATTACACATTGCTTAGCAGTTATTTTTTTATGCATACAGTTGCAATTACAGAGTACATGACATTTTTGATTCTGCTGTTTTCATCCCGAAAGTACAAACCTAAAACATTAAGCTAATAGACCATGGTCTCTGATTGCTTCTCTTTAAATTTTGCCTTAATAGAGGGGCAATTTCAAAATTAAGAGAGTAACAGATCATAAACTAAGATGTCTTTTTTGAATTGTCTTTGAAAACAAATCAACATTATATATAAATAAATGGCCCTTTTTAACTCTGCGAGTCTGTGATTTTTCTCTAAGTTAATGCAGTTACAAATCAGGTTTTTTAAATTGTGATAAAGTATATGTAACATAAAATTTACCATTTCAACAATTTAAGTGTACAGTTCAGTGGCATGGAGTACATTCACATTATTGTGTAATCATCACCACCATTAATTCATCTCCAGAACTTTTTCATCTCCCTATACTGAAACTTTGTACCCATTAAACACTAGTTCTCCATTCTGACCTCCCACCAGTCTCTGGCAAACTCTTTCTATTTCTGTCTCTGAAGTTGACGATTTTAGGTACCTTATATAAGTGGAATCATACAATATTTGTCCTATTGCGACTGGCTTTATTTCACTTAGCATAATGTCATCAAGGTTTATTTTAGCATGTGTCAAATTTCTTTCCTTTTTAAGACTGAATAGTATTTCATTATATGTATATACCACATTTTATTTACCCATTCATCTGTCAGACACTTGGGTTTCTTCTACCTTTTGGCTATTGTGAATAAGTTATATCACTTTTAAAGTAATTTTAAAAGGCACTTTAAATTTTCTGCTTATATTTGTCGCTGTTATTGTATTTCAACATAGTTAATAAGACCTTAGAATTTTATTTCTCAACTACTTTCAGCTTTTAGTTTTATATTATTTACTACTCTGTAGAGTACATAGTAAAATCCTAAAATTCTTGTTCTGACCTTGTTCTGTCATGACAGTGGTTTTTCTGAATATAATCATTTTGAAAGAATGTGTCTTCCTAGTTTTATTTGTATTAGTATAAGTTTATGTTCCCCATGTATATCCCAAGAAATTATCTTAATACTTCTTATGTAACACCCCCAAAAACCACATTACTGCAGAAAGTTTGAAAAATATAGATTAAAAAAACCTTTACCTTGTAATAACAATTTAACTTTTTTATTATAGACTTCTAGTAACTTTTCTATATATGTGTGTATACATACTCATAAGTGTGGGATCATACAGCATAACTTTTACTTAGTATATTATTAGTATTTTCCTATCTTGTTAAATGTCTTCTTCCACTTTATTTTCTTAACATAAATATATGTCCTCATGTATAAAATAATTTATTTGAATCAGTCATTAGACCTTTATGTTGCTTTAAAATTTCACTTATGTAAACAAGTCTGTTATTATATGTAATAATTATATGCATATATATAGCTATTCTTTGAAGGGAGTACAGTAAAACCTTGGATTGTGGGTAACATGGTTTGCAAGCATTCCACAAGATGAGCAAACATTTCTAGTACATTTTAACTTGGTAAACGAGCGATGTCTTGCAATATCAGTAGTATGTTTCCGGAACGAATTATGCTCGCAAACCAAGGTATTACTGTATTTCTCATATTTCTTTGCTTTTTGTGTCCTTAGGGAAATAATAGAATTATAGTAAAAAAAAACAAAACTAAAAATTATCAAATTAGTCATCTGAACTAATTAATTGAGATCATGTGTTTGTGTATATTTATTCTTTTTCTCTAAGCAGGTTGGCAACATTGTACAAATCACCAAGCCAGAAGGAATCTACAGTACTGTTTCAAATCACAGTCAGTATTATTTGGTTAGAATGGGATTTTGGTGTTGGTGGGCAGTAATGAGCTAAAGAGAGCATTTACAAATTGCTTCTGTTAAGTTCTGTAGGCAGCAAGTCTATTTGAGGACAGCTTTTGATACTTAGAATTATCCCCCAATATCAGTATATATACATACAATATTCTAGTCACAATTGGACTGAAATTTTACTTAAGAACAGAGGAGATACATATTTATAGGGTAGTGTTTTCCATGTCATGTGTAATGTCAGGATATTAAAATATTTCTAAAGTGAAACTTGTTAAAGATTTCAGTAAAGAAAAAATACCAACCTTACTCATTTTGGCCTGTAGATCTGTCATAGCCACCAAATATATCCCACTTTAAAATGTTAATTTTTCTGTAATTGTACATCATAGAACACATCTTTGACTGAAATATGCATATTTATCAATAGTGTTGAGCCAGATATTTTCTTGGCATCTCATATTTTAAGGACAAAAACAGAAACAGAGATTCTGAAACTGAATTAGCCACTTAATCTTTGCACTGCCTAGGAACATTTGAAGTAATCTAATTAGAAAACTTTAGAGTACTTAATTGTGAAAATAAGTTTGTAATGCACCTAACTAATTGGTACATGTTATTTCCTTTTACCTCTTCCAATGGAATCACTACGAAGTTTGTTAGGATTGTCTTTTAGAGAGCGTTTTTATAATGCAATGTTATTATTTCTGTGTGTGTATATGTATAAATAAATATATATAAAATACTGTAGATATAAAACACTTTTACATCCCTGGCTTTGGACATCTACCTATCCATGAGGTTTATCCTCTTCATTCACAGTGGATGATAACGTCTATCCCAAGAATAAAGTGGCTTTCTTATCAATTACTTAAAAAATATTTGGAAGACCAATTGTTATTTTAGATGTTCTTAAAACACACTTGTATATTTTTTTCATCTTGCAGCCTCAGGGATTTAGAGATGCTGTTGTTGCTACTACATGTTCATTGCAAACAGAAGGTTCATTGAATTCCCGGAAACGGTCACGAGAATCAGAGGAAGAGCAGGAAGCCAAAGACTAGTCTTAAATATATACATATGTATGGATGCCGTGAGATGCAATGTATACAAGTAGTAAGCTTGTTACTTTAAAATATAAACACACACTATGACATGAATGAATCAGGAATATGTGAAATGAAATATATATATGTATATATATATTTTTTAACAAATATGGTTGTCTGAGTTTTTCTAAATCAGTGTTCTATAGTTATAATTTGCCCTGTTTTTATTTTTAGTAACATTCAGAAGGGATGATAATAGGGATGTATTTTGCAGATGTAGAAAGCTGATCTTATGTGGCCAATCTGAATTTACCATTCAGACTTGTTTCTTCTTACTTTCTTTGCTAATTGCCTAGAAAATCCTAAGAAGAAAAGATGTATTTTTCATATTCCTTTTATGTTCTCTGTAAATGTAGCTTTGATAATTCTTAAAATGACCCATTTTATTATTATAAAGAAAAGCCAGCATCCTGGGTCATCATATCATTATATTCAGTTTTATAGGTAGGGTACAAATTCTAGAGGACCAATCCGAGTTTAGTGACCTCAATCCTGAAGCCATTTGTTTATTTTTAATGTTATTTTATAATGTTAAAGAAGGACTTTGGAGTTGTTATCCCATTGAGAAATTGTGTGGAACATATATCTTCCAGAATAGTCAAGTCGATAAGCTCACAGTTATTTATGTCTACATTTTTGAAACATGGTGTGATTCATTCTAGAATTCTAGGTATGTTGACATTTTCCTTTGAATAACCTTAACACTGCTTGAATAAATTAAAAATTTAGATTGAGTGGTTTCAAAATCATCTAATTATGTTTTGGCACCTAGTTCTTAGTACTTCTCAGTTCATTCACAAAATTTACTTTGGTTCCCAGTGAAAGAAAATTATTTAAATAATTGATTATTTTATACTGTGACAACAACATTTTCCAGATTTAGTGACATTTGGTATTTCCTGTCCCAGACTGAACACTAAATTTATAAAATTTAAAAATATAATTATTCTGGGCCGGCCGAGTGGCGCGATGGTTAAGAACTGGCTTGGGACGCCAGAGGCCCCGGTTCGGATCCCACATATGAGGGCCAGTGACACTGCCCTCCACAGCTAAGATGCTGAACAACAGCTCAACCTG